TTGGAAGGGACCTTGGAGGTATTCTAGTCCAACCCTTGCTTAGGCAGGAAACCCTACACCTCTTCAGACAAATGGTTATCTAATGTGTTCTTTAAAACTTCCAGTGTTGCAGCATTCAGAACTTCTGGAGGCAAGTTGTTCCACTGATTAATTGTTCTAACTGTCAGAAATTTTCTCCTCAGTTCTAAGTTGCTTTTCTCCTTGATTAGTTTCCACCCATTGCTTCTAGTTTTATCCTCAGGTGCTTTGAAGAATAGCTTGAGTCCCTTCCAACTCTGTTAATCTGTTAATTTGCTTCTTTGTGGCAACCCCCAAGATATTGCAACACTGCTATCATGTCACCTCTAGTCCTTCTTTTCATAAGACTAGAAATATCCAATTCCAGCAGCCGTTCTTTATATGTTTTAGCCTCCAGTCCCCTAATCCTCTTTGTTGCTCTTCTCTGCACTCTTTCTAGAGTCTTCACATCGTTTCTATATTGTGGTGACCAAAACTGAATGCAGAATACCAAGGCATTATAAAGTGGTATTAACACTTCACGTGATCTTGATTNTTTAAAATTCTTTCCTTTTCCTCATGACTGGTGAGGCCACGCCTTCCCTGCCTCTAGTGACTGCACGTCCCTGATCCGAAGCATCCTTTTTTTCCATTTAAGATCCCCATCCTTCCAATTCTCTCTCTTAGTTTGTTGAAGTCAATAACACTTGTTTGATTTTGTTCAGTTACCTGTCTATGCATTATGGTGAATTCTAGTATGATATGGTCATTCTCCCTTAATTATTCTGTTCCTATTAGTAAGAATTAAATCTAGTATAGTTGACCTCCAGATCCCTCCACCTTTTGAGAGATAAAGTTGCCAGCTAGACATGTTGGGGAACCTGGTTGGTGGCCTGTAGTTATGTCCCTTTCCCCTAATATTCCCCCAAATACTTTCAAACTGGCTTTCATCCTTGGTATTGTGTATGTCTATAGAGATATAGTAGTTCTTTACATACTGTGCAACTCTTTCCCTCTCTCTTTTGCGTTGGTTCTGTTTCTTTTGTACAGTGTATCCTTCTAAGCAGAATGTTCCAATCATGGGTTCCATCACACAAATTTCAGTAACAGCAACAATATCAGGCACTAGGATCTCAGGCCCTCCCTGTTTGTTCCCCATACTTTAAGCATTAATGTACAGGCATTTGAACCCTTTATGGTTGACCCAGTGTTTGCTTTCTGCATCTCCTGTTACATGTCTGAGTGCCCCTTCCGTCTTATTACATGTTTCCGCATTGTCTGATTTGTTATCTTGGGATTTCAGCTTTGGGTTTGTTCCTAAAAATTGGTCTCCCTCTCCCTTTTAATTAAAAGACCTATGGATAAGACAAGCCAGAGCTTTCCCAAACACATTCTTCCAGTCTTTGTGAGGTGCAGCCGATCACTTGCCAGAAGTCCTTCCTCTAGGTAATGTAAACCATGGCCCATAAATCAAAACTTCTCTTGATGGCACCATCTCTTAAGCCAGTGATTTACCTTTAAAATTCTATGTTCCCTCCTTGGATGTTGACCTTCCACTGGCAGTATAGATGAAATACCATCTGTGCTCCTAATTCTTTTGCCTTCTTGCCTAGCTGTTCATAGCCGCTTGATATGTTTTTCAGGCTCTATTTTGTTGTATCATTCTTCCCAACATGAAAGAGCAGAAAGGGATTATAATGGGATTGATTATGTGGGTAAGCCTTGTGTCACATCTTTGATCTTTGCATCTGGGAAACAACCCAACTCTTGATAGGTTGTACAGTCCACAAATTGCTGAGAAGTGAGTCACCAATCACCTGCTTATGTCTCTTTGGGGGACTCAGCAAACTCCTCTTTATGACAGTCTGAGCTACTTTTCTTCCTCATGGGAACATCTGAAACTCCAGATGTCCTGTGTGTTTTCTTACAGAGGGAGGATATGCAAATGATTGTTCAACTCCAGTGGCAGGGACCTTTCTCCTTGTATTTTTGTCCTTTCAGTGACATGCTGCCATTGGTCTGCCCCATGAGCTTCATTTTTTCCTGTAGTTGTTTCTTCCTTACTGTATTTAGTTTGAATGCAGACTTCTGCCTTTCCAAGGAATTCCTCAGATGAGACTCAGAGTGATTAGACATGCCTCTAGACCTTCCATTTTCTCCTCTAACAATCAGATCCATTTGGACTTGTTGCAGGTATAATTTGAATCCTCCATGGGCAGGAATACAAACATAGCACATATCTTGCTGGTCGCTACAGTGTTAGCTATTACTTTCTTATGCTTCAGGATTTGTGCAGGTACAAATATATTTCTTATAGACTTTCTGCTTTAGACTTTTAGTTGTAGGCTTTTAGGTATGTGGGCTAGTAGCGTGATCCACTAGATTAAGTCCTAGTTCTCTGGAGATTGTGTTGAGCAACTCTTTGCTCTCCCAGCAACTTTTGCTGCTATGCAAATACAACCAGTGACTTACAGGGGACGGAGAGAGTTGTTGCATTCAGCTATCACCAGGGCTTTTGCAATCAGAGTACAGTCAATTGCCTCATTCTGAACAATGGCAGGATTCTGGGGATTCTGAATAGCCCTTTGATCTGTTCAGGTTGGTTTGACTTGCTTGGTAGCTGCTTCCTTGCAAAAACTGAAAATGTATATTTCTATCTGGGAGCTGCCGCTGCCTCACAGATGAGCAAAGCAAGGGGATTGCTTCAGTGGTGGTTCCTAACAGTTTGGACTGGTTTGGCAGAACCGGTAGTGGTTTGGTGGAACCGGTAGTGGTTTGGTGGCCTGGTTCACTGGAACTGGCAATGACCCAGGTCTGCCACACTCCCGAACCAGTTCCACGGGCAGTGGCGGCACCATCTTTTTTTTTCCAGTTCTGTGCATGTGCAGAACAATTTTAATTGTACTGCACATGCATGCGCACATGCAAAGCACTCCCCTGAGCAAACACGACAGTAGTGCCTGCCGGAACCTACTCCTGGACCGCTTGATTTTATCTTCAGTGGGAGGGTGCTGTGCTGTGTCTCAAAGCTCCTTTGCTGGGTGGCTTTGCTTGAACATTGAATGAAATGACACTCCCACCCCTCCCCAACCTCAACTAGAGACACTTCTGATCCACAGGTGTCTGCTGCAAATCAGAATGTTGAAAAAAAGAAAGAAAAATGTGTTGCAACCAACCCCAGCCTTTGGTAATTGTGTCAGATGTAAACATGGGACTCATGACTTGTGTCAACATTTTATCTTTGGTGCCCCCCCCCCACACATTGGAATGGCCAGATCATCTGGGGGCCAGCAGGGTGAGCGCCATCCGAAGACTCCAGTTCAGCCTTGAAACAGGTCTCGTAAAGGGCAGCTCTACTACGTGTCTTCTGCAGAAAATGTGGAATGTGTACGTAATGACTTCAAATGATCTTTCCAAAATGTTAGGAGATACATCATTGATGTCCATAAAGCTTACAAATGAGAAAGCAGAATGTAAAGATTTCCATTTTCTCAGATGGACAAAAGGATCCAGTCCCAATCAAACCACAGAATATTCAAAGCCGTCTTCTTTTTAAAATATTATTTTAGAAAACTATACTACCCACCTGTTCATATAGTAACCCACAAAAAAAGAAATGAATGGCAATGCAATGAAAGAGTTTACTGAAAACACTTTTTGCTTTGCCGCTTATCTGAGAGCTACTCCCTCCCCTTTATCTGACAATAAGCAGTGGGAGCGAAGGCTTGTGGTTCTGATGGGAAGCAAAACACCAAGATTCCCACTCCCCTCAGTGATGATGACTTCAGCAAGACGAGGCCGTCTCTGCAGGAGCCGGAAAGCTGATTGCACTCATTGTTGTTTTGCAAATCCCTAACAGATTCCTCTAACTGTGGTAGCTCAAGAGCACAGAATTCGACATTACCAATCTGCAAGTTGCAGAAGGCGAGAAAGTGCTAAACCTGAAACCTTAGCAAATGTGAAATACTGAACAGAAGGCGCAAGTATCAACAGGGATTTGATTCCATTTGGGACACCATTAATTCACATTACATCCTGACAAAGCCGTCATGCCCCACTCTGCCGTGATTTGACGCAGCCACTTTAAAGCTTCTCCAGAGCTCAGAAAAAGCTTTAAACACACATTCAGGAGGAGATTAAGTGCCTGAAGGGGGCACAAACAACTAGGAAACAAGGGAACTGAACAAATGATGTTTGTTTCTTGATGGTAGGGGTCTTTCAGCTTCAGGTTACTGCCCTCAGAAACTGGAGATGCAGAAAATGCACCAAATGTCACAAGGGAGATTTATTTCCTTCATAAACGCCCCTTCACAGAGTTACCTTGGCCACCACTACAGGATCCCCAATGGACACAAGGGAAATCATGGGCCTCTGGGACCAATGGGTCATCCACAACTGCTGGTTGATGTGGCTACATCAAACCTTTCACTCCTCTGAATGACCTAGGTTGGATTGCCAGATGGTGTGTGTGTGTATGAACTAACTGGTGTGTGTGTGAGAGAGGGGAGGGGCTGCGTCCTTTCACATCTAGGAAACATGCAAGAGTCTTCCAACCAATTTAGCCAAACCATTCTCTGCTGATTCAAGGCCTAAGCTGCAAGAAAAGATTGGACAACCATTTGACTGTGATGGTAAAAGGCCTTGAGCAGGAAGTTGGACTAGAAGACCTCCAAGGTCCCTTCCAACTCTAGGATTCTATAATATTTTCTATATCTTTTAGGCTAGTATGAACTATGGAGCTGAAGAAGCTGAAAAAAATGTGATAGGTTCAAAAAGCTTTAAGGAAAGATGAAGCGCCACCCAAGTTGGGCCCAGCCCCCACACATGCAAAGAACCCATGGCAAAGTAGAGCCCCCCTCCATCTTTGAGTGGGGTGTATTTGTTTCTGTTGGGACTCCAGCACATCCTCCTCTCTTTGAAGCTGCTTACGAAGGGGCTTCTGGCAGCCCCCAAGATCTTTCCTGAGATGTGCAAAGAGAAGAGCAAGCAAAGAAGCCACCGACCTTTTCCAGCCCATCTTCCTTGAGGCTGATGATGTCCAAGTCAAAGTCAGTTCTGAGCCCGCTGGTTTTGTTGAAGGCAATTCGTCCCGTTAAGCCCTCCCACTGTGCCTGAAAGGCAGAAAGGAAGGAACAGTGGGTAGGGATGGCACCAGGGAAGGAGGGGCGATGAACTTGTGACATAAAGGAACTCTGCATCAAGTGCATAAGCCAGAAGTGAGCTGCCTCTTTTAGCTTTGCTAAACCCATCACTGTGTAAGGCCTGCAGCAATATTTGTTTATGGATCTCAAACCTGCCACACATTCTATTATTCTACTATGCATTTTCTATGGTGGGAAAATGGGAGGGGGAATTGTTAGATGATATGTAGCCATAACATCATTTTTTCTAAAAAGCCAAGGTCATCCTTTGTCTCTGCACTTCTGCACCTGGTTGGAACTATATGAGTGGGACTGCCAGCATGGCAGTGGAAGATTGGACCATGTGACGAACTTGTGGGTGTGGGGGCAAGATCTTGAACGTTCAATTGGGTGGGGAAAACCAGGAAGCTTTCAGATTCGGGTTTTTCCAGATGTGCCAACATGGCTCTCTTAATAAATTGGAACTTTGAGCAATACTTTACTTTGGACTCTGATTTACTTTTGGATGCTATTTGGAACCAAGACACACTGCTTCCTATTCTGCAAAACTGGAGAAATCCACACACACCCTGCTGTCCCTTAGAAATGGTCGATGCCCACCGCTTCCAGTTCACTGGAGAGAATGATGAAGTGTTGCTGAGCTATGAGCTCTGAAGAGGGAAAACCCTTTGGAAGTTTGGGTGAGACAGCCTGGAGGGAAAGCAAGGAGACCCTTCTAAGCCACCCAGGCCATTTTTCTAGATGTTCCTTCCAAAACCAGCATTCATTCTGGAGCTATCCAGGTGCTCCATTAAGGACTGGGAGATGTCATGGCCTGTGCTTCCTCTTCTCCCCTTCTCCCTCCATAATGTCATCACCGAGATCATCTTGGCTTCATCCTGCAATTTCATTGGGCCACTGCAGCAGCTGACTATCTGCAGGCAGAGTGCTGGAGTTGGGGGGTTGGGGAAGTGGAGGGTAGACTGCTCAAATCAAGCTTTGTACTAACAGTGAGGCTAGAGATTAAGTTCAACCAGTCCTGGCTCACTCAACTTAAAAACTATTCTGAGCCTTGGTGTGGTATCTGCTGCTCCATCCATGAAAGACCAAGCTAGTCACATGCTTCTCTCTGTTCCTGGCCATGGATGTGAAGAGGTCCGACATGAACCTTGGAAAACTACATGAGAAATCTCGGCCATAGGGGCAGGTTCATCTCCAGTGGCCCCAAAGGGGCTGAATGAGAAAGAGGGAGATGACTTAGTATCATCTTAACAGAAGTGGGCCTGAGTCCTATAAGTGTTTCCCTTCCCTTTCTTGCTCCTCCTGTTGACCTCCAGGGGATCCTCTGGCTCTTCAAATTCAGAAGAAACGTTTTAGTCCTCTCTTTGGTCTGCTGGATCTGGGCTGAACTTGGATGGTAGCAAATAGTGTTGCACCCTTCTTTTCTGGCTTCTTGTGGTGGTCTTCCATTTTTATAGCATGGATATAACATGGTGACTCACTCACTCCTCCAAGTCCTGCAGAAATTAGTGGGGAAACCTTTGGTGCCTTAAGGATTCTGTGGGGTTGACTTGACTGAGAAGGGTGGAGAGACAGCAAGAGCAGCAGATCTTCCCTCACTGTTACTTATTCCCTCCCTCCAACCCTCCAAGCCGTTCTTCTGCTCTGCTCTTCTCTGGTCTACTTGTTTTTGTGCTGAATACATGGGGCCCCTGGGAGCCAAGTAAATAGATAATCAGAAAAAAAAAAACTTTGCTGCCCTCTCAAGGACACCTAGATCATGATTAGTACCCATCAGGTTGGCAGAAAGCATGGTGGGATGCCAAGGGAGACTGGCAGTTTCCTTGAGCCTCAGATCACAAGAAGACCAACTTCATTGTATTTGCAATATTTGCATTTTTTCCATTTCATGTGCCTAAAGCAGACTTTTTACTGTTCTCAGTATTCTTTTGTTTGTAATTGCACATTGGAATGCTGCTCTCCTCTCACCACTGAACTAATCAGAAATTTTCCAAACTTGAGTAACTAACATGGCATCCAATGAAAGGTCTTGGAATCTTATTTGAATCATAATTTAGCCCAAGGGACAACTATCCCCAGGCCTGTGAATTATATGAATAATTAGAGGCATGGGGGTTGCTGGTGACCAGACCCTGGGACGAGGATGGTTGCTTCATCCCGTAGAACTCCTGGGTGGCCATCGCTCTTAATTCCTTACTGAACAGAGGGCAGGTAACTGAGAAAGGCAAGTACAGGAAAAGCAGCTAAATGACAAGATCCCATTTGGTCATTCTTCATTATTTCCAAGATGCTGAGATGAGGAGAAGGAGGCTGCTGCGTTGGCTCTCCCAACTGTCCATCTTTCTCAGACAATTGCAGAGTTTTGCTCTTTCTGGCTGGAAAGGCTGGCCTGGGTTGGGGTGGGTAGAGGATTTCAGCTGGGGTAGTGGCCACCCAGAGCCAGGCATTACCTGAGAGCTGGAAGCTGCGAAAAAGGAGCTGAACTCTGTTGCCTTGTGATCTACAAAAGCATTAGTTGATGCTCTGACATGAGAGAAAAATCTTCATTATTCCTTAACATAGGCACTCCTTGGATGCAGAACTTTAAGTCAGGAGGACCTTTTCAAATAACATAATTTTTCAAAGGGATAAGCTTTTGTGACAGGCAGCTACAGCTTATGAAAGTGTACGCCTTTTATTTAAATCTGTTATTTGAAAATTTGTGGTGATAGAGAAGACTCAAGAGCAGGGGTCTGCAACCTTAAACACTCAAAGAGCCATTTGGACCTGTTTCCCACAGAAAAGAAAGCACCAGGAGCCACAAAACCTGGTGGGCATGGTCAACTTGATATCACTCACTCCCCCCCCAGTCACATGACCCCCTCACCCCCCTCCCCGGTGATGCCTACCCAGATTTTGTGGCTCCCGGTGTTTTCTTTTCTCTCTCTCTCCCTCCCTCCTCCCCCTGTCTCCCCCCCTCCCCCTGTCTCTCTGTCTTTCTGTCTCATATATCTGTGTCTCTTTTCCATCTCTCTCTCTCCCCCCGCTCTCTCTCTGTGTTTCTCTTTTTCTTTCTCTCACTCTCATATCTCTCTCTGTCTCTTTCTCCCTCTCTGTCTCTCTCTCATGTGTGTGTGTTCCCAAAAACAGGCGAGGGTTGGTGTTTTTTTTTTCTTCCTGATATTGTTCTTTCTTCTTCTTTGGATGCCTTTTACCATATGATTTAAATCAAGAGTCATTTTGGGTTCCCAGATAAATGAAGCTCTTTTGTTCCCCTGCTGTGGCTCCCTGTCAGCTGAGCCCACCACTGGCTGAGCCTGCCCCGCGCCCCCCCTCCCAGTGACTCCTTTCCTGGCTTGAGAAGGTAAGGGCGATGATGGAGCAGGAGTGAAGCGCCCCTGTACTTGCCTCCTCTTGTGAGCACTTCTTCCAGCCCTTGTTGGTGTTGCATGCACCTCAGTTGCTTGGGGAGATGTGTGATTTGCTCTCTGCCCCTAGACACTGGCCTGACTCCTGGAATCTGGAGTGAGTCTCCATCCCCCACTGTTGCCTTTACCTTCTCAGGCCAGGCAAGGACTGGGAGGGTAGGGCAAAGGGTGGGGCCAGCCAGTGGTGGGTTCAGCTGACAGGGAGCCACAGCAGGAGGACAAAGGGGCCACATGGGGCCCCAGAGCCACGGATTGCCGGCACCTGCTCTAGAGGGCCCCTTGGACTGCAAGGAGATCCAATCAGTCAATCCTGAAGGAAATCAAACTTGATTGTCATTTGGCCACTTTGGAAGCTGAAGCTCAAATACTTTAGCCATCGAAAGAGAAGAGAGGACTCCTTGGAAAAGACCCTGATGTCGGGAAAGATGGAAGGCAAAAGGAGAAGGGGGCAGCAGAGGGTAAGATGGTTTAGATGGCATCAGTGAGCATAGCAGAACACAATGTTACTAGTTTCTGGGCAAGATCTATTTATTTTGTACATATTTTAATCTTGTACTTTACATTTTAAATTTTATGTCATATAGTATGCCTTACTTTAATTGTGGTGCTTATGACGAATAAATAAATATTGGGCATGAATTTGGGCAAAGTCTGGGAGGTGGGGGAGGGTGGGGGGAGCGGGGTGTGTGTGGCGTGCTGTGGTCCATGGGGTCACAGACAGTTTCAAATGACTTAGCAACCGAACAGCAATCAACACCTTTTATCAAATCTTGTTATTTGAAAAGCTACTACCTCGCTCCTCCCAATTTGTGATAGATTACCCTCCTATAAGGTTATGACTTTCTCCTCTCCGACCAAACATATTTTTTGAGAAGAGAGAGACCAAGGTTTTGGTTTTCCACTCATCCTCCTTTCCCTTCCATTTTATCTGATGGATAAATTAAAATAAGTTGGCCAGAACTGAGTCCAGATCTCAATGGTGTCTGAAGCGCGCAGAGCAGATTAACTTGGAAGACTTGCCTGGCTCCAGCTCTGATTTACAGGGCCTGACCTGCCTCCTTTAGTTCAGCTCAACTGTCCCTTCTTGTCAAAAGCATCTGTTGTGCCATGGAGGGGATGGCCAGTTTCAAAAAGGCCGTCTGTTCAGAGCTGCTCCCAAGAGGGCTGCTGAAGTAGCTGCTTTACGGTGTTGCTTCCAGCAGCAGATTTTGCAAATTTGCAACTAGCTAAAACACAAGGAAGCAGGAGACCCTGGGATAAGACTGATCCCAGAGGAAACACAACAGTTTTAAGAGCATCCAAAGTAGTCATTGCGTCTAGCCTGGGAATTGGGTAGAAAGCGAGAAAAGCATTCAGGCCTCTGAATTTCCTTTCTGGCTTTTAGTCCAAATTCTGTCTTTCCTTACTGCCGGGTAGATTGTGAACTGCACTTTGATCAACTAATGGACATTTTGCTAATGCCCCTCTCAATTCTATGGTGGAGGCAGCAGAGAAGTATCAGCTGCCTCTTATTATTTGGCTCATTCCATGACTAGTTGTCAGAACTGCCCTGCAGCAGATCATTCTGAAGGCTTCACTCATAACCAGATAGCAAGGAAGTTGGTAGCTGTGTCCCACACCTCCTGCTTCTTGACAAGCAGTTTTGAGTAGCCCCTTTTTTTCTGACCCTGAAAGTAATAAGTACAGCCTCCATTACAAGTCATTGCACAACCATCTTTCTCTATGTTACGGCTGAATTATTTTTAAAGCATTTCAAGTGGATGGACAACTCTCCACCGTGATGCAGAAGTGCCACAGCGTGTGGACAAAAATATTTCCTTCCCAATCAGGGCCATTTAACTCCGCTGGCTGGCCAGCGACGTAAGTGTAGTCTCTCTCTCTCTCTCTCTCTCCACATCATGCATAGTTTTACATACCAGAATCACTTCATTCCAATTGCCATTGCAACCAGCAGCCACTTAAAGCCTGATCTTGTATGCATTTTATCGCCATTCGCCGATGATCCATCGAGCCAGAGAAACCACAAGCAAGCCCCGAGAGAGCCCTGGGTTACAGAGATTTGGCAGCAGTGTCCTCTGGTGTTCCAATGAAAGGGACATGGGCCAAGTGTAGCATTTCGAGAAAAAGAAAATTTTCAGGAAAGGAATCTGCGTAGGCCAGTGTATTCAAAAGAAGCTAGGTCTTAATCCAAGGACAAAGGTACAAACAGACTGACTCCCTGTTCCTCTCTTTGTGTGCGTGCCTGCAAGAAGCACTTCAATTTTTCATGCACACAATTGTGAGGTCATTGCATGACCTCCTCAACAATCTGAACAGTACTTGAGCATATCTACTGCTCTCGTGGCAATTACTTCTACTTGAGCCGGCAGGAACCCTTTGAAATTATGCATCTGGTGGAGGGGTGACAAGTGAATTAGTGGGCTCCGTCTACAATTGAGATGATTCAGTCTGGCTTGCTTGAGAAATGTCAGGATAAATACCTAGCTGGCTAGCCAAACCAAGCAAGGAGTAGCTTCACCGGGGCATTCCTTTCATCTCAAAATTGTCCCGATGACATGAAATGTTACAGCCTATAAATCCATCCATGCCCGGGTTTTTAAGAGCCAAGCCCCAGTTCCTCGCTCTGTGACTGCCTCATGAGCAATAGTTATCTGAGTCCAGGACCTTTCTTACCTCTTTGATAAAATTCATAAAGCGCCCACCAAATCGCCAGGCTTTGTGTCGATGGCACTGAAGTGAGTTGACCGTCATCTGAGGGGCCCGTTGGTAACACACAGAGACTATGTGGACGGCATCATACAACAGGGCAGCGTCTGTCTAAAATGAAGGTGGAGAGTAATTGTTTTGACCACATGCAGCCACTCTAAAAGCAATCCTCCCCACCCCCAAATGTTCTCTTGATTCTATAGCTAAGCCCACTGTGAGGAGCCACTGCTTCTACCCTGAAAGGGTAGACTTCCCATGCACCCAGGCTTCCAGGAATCATTCCTGAATCCAGGATAATATTAGGAGAAAAACCAGCCTCTTTGCTTCAAACGGTTCCTTCTCCTAGGATTCTTTCCCCCCTCTGGAAGAAGGGGGCTGGAAGTCATTTTACCTATTCAGATGTAATGTGTTGTTCAGCCTGAAGATGCAAGACTCCTCTTCTGACAAAAGCAGAGGGTGTTAAAAACGTTTGGCACAGCCTGGCACAAGCCGTATGAGCTGCAAACCTTTTCTGATTACACAGCAGCGGGAAAAGGGCCAGGAGTTCAAAGTGACCATCGTACCATCATGACCCCTGCGATTAATCCAGGTTCAGGTTTGGCGGCCGTCTGCAACCTCTCCATGGACCACTTATCAATTACGGCAGACACATGGGGATTCTCCACGTTCAAGATGCGGAAGCCAGTCAGGTTTACTCCAGAGTAGCGATATTGCTCAAGATCGAGTGCATACAGATCCTGTTGGGGGGAAAAAAAACCTTCTTCTCAGCCCTCTGCCTGCTCTTCTTTTGGCATAACTGAATGTTAAAACTGTTGTAAAGTAAGAGAAAAAGAAAGGTTGCTGAGAAATGTCACCCACGTTTCTGAAATTCAGCTTTTTGGGGAATTCACAGATGCTTCGCCTGAGTAAACAACCTTAAAATTTAGGTGCAGAAATCAGTATTGGTTCCAATTGGGAAGCCTCAGCCTCCCAATCTCAGCCAAGAATCAGTTAATTATGATGATTAATTGAGCATAAGGAGAAAAGACAAAATGCTTGAAAGAAAAATCAATGAATGGGAAACTCTGATATTAAGCCTTGTTGCTATCAGCACTTGCAGGAATCAAAAACTGTGTGAAATGCCAAAGTGTGTGGAATAGTAAGTCTTCTCTTGGGTGCCTGAGACACAGCAGTGAACTTCTAGCCTTGAAAATCATCCTCTCCATATATGCCTTATTTATTTATTTAGTGCATGGCATATCACATGTGGACTTGCGATAAATGTTAACATTATGCCTAGATTAAAAATAACACAATAAAATATGAATGTTAAAAAGACCTATATTCACATACCAATGTCTAGGCCAAGGGTGTCAAATACAAGGCCTGTGGACCAAAACCGGCCCACAATGTGGTCAGAACCAGCCCGCGGGACCGTCCTGGAAAATGTAAGGAGCTGACCCGCATTGCCTCAGCCCAGTCTACCCAATGCGAAGAGGAAACATGCCAGCAGCTTGGGGAGTGGATCAAGTTGGCCATGCCTGCCCGGTCCCCCAAGGTCAACCACAGCCCTGATGCGGCCCACAATGAAATTGAGTTTGACACTCCTGGTCTAGGCCATGTAAGTAATTAATAATTAATTAATAATTAAGGAGAAACTTCCTAACAGTGAGGACAATTAACTAATGGAACAGCTTGCCTTCAGAAATCTTGGGTGCTCCATCACTGGAGCTTTTTAAGAGACTAGACAGCCTCTGATTTGAAATAGTATAGGTTCTCTTGCTTGAGCAGGGGGCTGGACTAGAAAGCCTCCAAGGTCCCTTCTAGTTCTATTTTCTAATCATTAAAGTGTAGCATCCTTTATATGAAAAAATAAGATTCTAGACTAGTATACAGGTAGTCCTCAACTCCAGCCCAACATTTCTATTACTAAGTGAGACAGTTGTTAAGTGAATTTTGCCATATTTTATGAACTTTCTTGCTGTGGTTGTTAAATGAAACACTGCAGTTGTTATGCTAGTAAAATGGCTGTTAAGTGAATCTGGCTTTCCCATTGACTGCTTATCAGAGAGTTGCAAAAGATGATCACATGACCCTGGGACACTGCAACTGTCGTGAATATGAGCTAGTTCCCATGTGTCTAAATTTTGATCACGTGACTATGGAGCTGCTGCAATGATCTTGTGTGAAAAACCGTAAGAAGTCACTTAAAATGGTCAATAAGCAAAAGGCTGTAAGTTGAGGACTACCTGTATGCCCTCAAGTTACAGCCAATTTCCATGTGGTCTCTGGTTTGACATGGGATCACATATATGTGCCTATCAGCTGCGTCTTGCCCCACCCTGACCAGGGATAATGGGACAGCTTAATAATGAGAGATTACAAAAAGCTAGGGAAGAAAGTTAAAAGAATGAGGCGCACAAGTGATGTTTTCATCTATACTTCCAACAAATGGTCAACATCCTATGAGGGAGCAAAGGATTTTAGAAATGAACCAGTAGCTCATAAACCAGTGTCTACAACAGAACTTCGGCTTCCTAGACCATGGTCTGCATTACCTACATGTAGGGCTCCTGGCAAGGGATGGACTGTACCTCACAAAAACTGGAAAGAATGTATTTGGAAAACAACTGGCTTCTCAAAAAGGCTTTAACTGAGGAGGGAAGGCGCCCCATCTTCATGACCTATGGAAATTCCAAGCAGAAACCAGTAGATAACCAATCCCATAAGGAGGTAGAGAGTAAAGAGAAAGAAGAAATAAAAAAAGAAAAACATAAGGAAGTAGAGAGTGAAGAAAAGGATGGAAAATCCATTTACAAAATAAGAAATAAAAGAAACATACCAAAGACCCATAAAGGATTCAAATGAACACTCAAAGTTTAGGGAACAAACCGGGTAAACTTGAAGTATTCATACAGGAAGGCAGATATGATGTAGTTGCCATTACTGAAGCTTGGTGGGATGAAACTCATGACTGAAATGTACTGATGGAAGGATACAAACTGTTCAAAAGAAACAGACCTAACAAAAGAGGAGGTGGAGTTGCATTATATTTAAAAAATCACTACATTTCTACAGAAATACACAAAACCAAGGATGAGAACCTCCTGGAACCCATATGAGTCAATATAAAAGGGGGGAAATGACATTGCAACGGATATATGGCCATCCAACCAAGCCGAAGAAAGAAATGAACTGTTTGCTAATCAATTAACAAATGTATGTAGGAAATATACCACAGTAGTAATAGGAGACTTTAATTACCCTGATATCAACTGGGAGACAAACACTGCAGCAAGTGGGAGATCAAACAGATTCCTAATCAACTTTGCTAACAACTTTGTCATTCAAAAGGTAGAGGAGGGAACTAGAGGAAAAACTATACTGGACCTAATTGTTACTAATAGAGGAGAAGAAGAAGGAGTTGAAGTTTCTGGAACTTTGGGCAAGAGTGACCACTGAGCTGAGGTGGCGCAGTGGTTAGAGTGCAGCACTGCGGGCTACTTCAGCTGACTGCAGTTCTGCAGTTCGGCTGTTCAAATCTCACCGGCCCAAAGTTCCAGAAACTTCAACTCCTTCTTCTTCTCCTCTATTAGTAAC